ATAAGCATTAAAAAAATTTTTGGGGGGGACGCCTGGGTGGCTCAGTCGGTTAAGCGGCCGACTTCGGCTCAGGTCATGATCTCACGGTCCGTGAGTTTGAGCCCCGCGTCGGGCTGTGTGTTGACAGCTCAGAGCCTGGAGCATGTTTCAGATTCTGTGTCTCCCTCTCTCTGACCCTCCCCCGTTCATGCTCTGTCCCTCTCTGTCTCAAAAGTAAATAAACGTTAAAAAAGAAATTAAAAAAAAAATTTTGTAAGTTGCTATAGAGCGTTTTTCAATTATTTTGTCTCTACTTCCTTATCCTCCCTTTTCTCTTCAACCCACCGCAGTACCACTCTCCCCTGCTCCATGTCACCAAGACTGCACTTCATGTTAAATCCATAAGATAGTCCTGTGTCCTCAGATTCCTGGACTCTTGTCAGCATTTGATGAAGTTGGTTCCTCTTTAAATGCTTTTTGTCCTCTTGTGTATCAGTTTCCTATCGTCACCATCGATTACTACAGATTTAGCTGTTCTGAGCCACAGATATTTATGATTTCATGTATTTGTCATCAATTTTGTAGGTCAGAGACACCAGCCAGTCTCAATGAACTAAAATCAAGGCCTCAGCCTTAATACAGGCTCTGGGGAAGAATCTAAAGCTCATCCATGGTGGTAAACCTAGATCCTTGCGGCTCTACACCTGAGGTCCCCACATCCTTGCTGTAAATTGGCCAGGGGGCCACACTCCACTCACAGAGGCCTCTCTCCCGTCCTTGTTCGTGGCCTTTCTACACATTGGAGTTAGCAACAGCATGCCGAATCTTCTCAGTCTTCGTGATTCTTGCCTGAGAAAGTTCTCTAGTGTTCAGGGTCAAATGGATCTGCTTCCATATTCTGATTTTCTTCCTGTCTGCCTGGCTGTCTCTTCTCAGTCATCTTCTTGACCTGTATACACTAACAACCTCAGGGCCCTATCCTTGGACCCTTGCCCTTCCATGTTTTTAAGTTTTTTTTTTCTTTTGATTTTGAGAGAGAATGTGTGAGAGAGCACACAAGCTGGGGAGGGGTAGGGGGTGGGGGACAGAGGATCTGAATCAGGCTCTGCTCGGCAGAGAGTCTGAGCTGAATCAGCAAAGAGTCTGATGTGGGGCTCGAACTCATGAACCGTGAAATCATGACCTGAGCCAAAGGCAGATGCTTAACTGACTGAACCACTCAGTTCTCTGTTCTTCTTCTTCTCTGTTCTTCTTATTTTTTAATGTTTATTTACTTTTGGGAGAGAGAGAAGGAGACAGGATCCGAAGCAGGCTCCAGGCTCTGAGTTGTCAGTACAGAGTTGTGTGCGGGGCTCAAACCCATGAACTGTGCGATTGTGACCTGAGCCAAAGTCCGGAACTTAACCGACTGAGTCACCCAGGCGCCCCAGCCCTTTTCTGTTCTAATCCCAGAGAGATCCTAGCCATTCCCACAAGTTTAAATATGTGATGTAAACAGGTGGTATTTACCTGGCCAGCCTAAGGCCTCCCCTGCACACTAGACCTCCAGGCTCCTGTGCTCAATTGCCTTTTTCGGTGGTTCTCAAAGTGTAGTCCCCAGACCAGCAGCAGTGTTGTCTGGAAACTTGTTAAAAATGCAAATTCTTGAGCCTATCCCTGTGCTCCTGAATCAGAAACTTTGGCTAGAGCCCAGAAGTCTGTATTTTCACAAGCACCCCGAGTAATTCTGTTGTTTGCTGAAGTCTGCAGACCACTGCTACTCAGGTGTCCTTGGGCATCTGACTCTAGATTTCCCAGGTACATTTTACCTTGATCTTTTCCTTATCAGCCTTCACGATCCATCCACTCAGGCGCTAAAGTTACTCTGATCCATTATCTACAAGTGGCCGGAGTGGTCTTTTAAAAATATGTCAGATGATATTCCTTTGCCTTAAAATCCTCCTATAGCTCCCACTGCCCTTGAAATTCAATCTGAACCTTTGCCCTGCTCCAGGGCCCTCTCTGCCAGCCCCTCTGACTTGTTCTCCTGGTGTTCCCTCTCACTACGCTCCAGCTACTTAGATTTTCTCTAGTGTATCTCCTAAATACTGGGCTCTTTCTAGCCTCAGAGCCTTTGCATTTGCTGCCCAGGCCTGGTCTGCCCTCTTGTAGTTTTTCAGGCAGTTGGCATGTTTGTATCCTTCGGGTCTCAACCATCCATCCTCAAAGACACTGTGCTGCCCCTTTCTAAAGAATCTAAAGCTCATTCATGTTGGTAAACCTAGATCCTTGCGGCTCTACACCTGAGGTCCCCACATCCTTGCTGGGAATTGACCAGGGGGCCACACTCTGCTTGCAGAGGCCTCTCTCCCGTCCTTGTTTGTGGCCTTTCTGTCCCTCAAACAACCTATTCCCTCCTGCCATTCTTTCTCAGCACATTGTTTCCTTCCTGCATCACATTAAATCCTATGATGTTTTCTTGTTGATGATCCTACCTCACTCCTACTACGGTTATATTACAAATTTTGAAAGGACAAAAACCTCATCTGTCTTGTTCCCTTATGTTTCCCTAATGCTCAGCTTGCTGCTTGACACATATCAGGTGCTCCACAAATGTTTGTTGAATTAACAAATCAAATTAGCCTTCAACATGCCTGTGCCAGACTTTGGTCTTGCTTGTCATGGGGTAGAGATGGCCCCTACTGGCAGACAGGGATGCTTAGGTCTCTGGGAGTTGTGTCTTACTGGTCTAGAGCTCCTTGGTTCTTTCCTTTGTTTTTTTTTGGTGTTTATTTATCTTGAGAGAGAGAGAATCCCGAGCAGGCTCTGCACTGAGCACAGACAGAGCCTGACTCGGGACTTGAACTCATGAACCATGAGATCATGTCCTGAACTGAAATCAGTAGTCAGACGCTCAACCAGCTGAGCCACCCAGGCGCCCCTTGAGCTCCTTGTTTCTTAACACTCCTGGAGACCTGCTTCCATCTCTTCCTTTTCAAATCAGTAATTTTTTTATCCCACCTCCATGATATGCGTAGCATTTTCTGACTGTAATATTTATTAACTGCATAAAGAAATGTCGTTAGGGACACCTGGGTGGCTCAGTCGGTGAAGTATCTGACTCTTGACTTCAGGTTCAGGTCATGATCTCACGGTTGGTGGGATCGAGCCCCACATTGGGCTTTGTGCTGACAGCGTGGAGCCTGCTTGGGATTCTCTCTCTTCCTCTCTCTTTCTGCCCCTCCCCTATTTGCATGTGCACACTCTCTCAAAATAAGTAAATTAGCTTTAAAAAAAAAAAAGCCATTGAACTCCTAAACCTTTGAAAGGCTTCGTATAAAAAGGTTCCCAATTCAATGGTATTGAGTAATGGTATTAATGGTATTCAATTGTATTGGAAGCAAGACACGAAAGAGCACAACCTAGATTATTCTGTTTATTTGAATGTCAAAATAAAGGTATATAAATCTACGATGACAAGAGTTAGGGGAATAGCTATCCTTGCCAGGGGCTTCTGACTGGAGAGCACATAGTGTCTTCTGGGTGCTGGAAACATTCTGTGTGTTGATCTCGAGGGTGAGTAAATGTGTGAAATGTGTACATTAAGTGTATAGTTAAGATATGCATACTTTACAGAGGTCCTGTCTCAAGAAGTTGAATAAATAAAAATCTTCAAAAAAATAGATTCAGAAAGAGTTGTGTCAAAACATGAATCCACTCCTGTTTGGGGTCTGTAAGGTGTGGCTGGGGGACCACTCCTCTGTCTCCCCCGCTTCCCCGAAGTGTGGCCAAGGTGAGCGTCTGAATGTTGGAATTATCAACGTTGCCAGCTGAAGGAGGCTGCCTCCTCCGTCTCGTGATGTGGCCCAGTTTCCACCTGATTCTGGGTGACCTTGAGGACATAGGAGTGTTGCTGGGAAAGGGGAGGAGGAAAGGGGCAGAGACAAAGGGTGGAGCAGGCGGTCAGCTACAATCCCCACATCTCTTAGTGCCTCTGTCCCAACCTGGGGAGAAGAGAAGGTAGAGCAGATCCAGCGAACGTCTCAGTGGATTGTGAGAAAGCAGGTAGTTCGTTGTGGGGGCCCTCCCTGGGTCTGTGGCCAACTTGCACCTGGTGCTTGTCCTCTCTCAGTGCCGATCATTTTGCACAGGGAGTGGGTGCGAATTTAGGAGGCTACCGTCCTCGGTCTCCGACTCTCCAGAACAGTGTTGTTAAGACAGCACTCTCTGCTTTAGAATGACCTTGGGGAGGGAGGGTGCTATTGTAAATGCAGATTTCTGGGGCTCACTGAATATGTGTGAGGGGCTGACGCAGGAATCGGTTGTAATTGTGCTTCCAACAGTTGCTCGCCAGTTTTGAGGACTGAACTAGAAGTTGGGAAGGACCTTTGCTTGTTTTTGCTGTCCAGTTCTGAGTCAGTACGCCTACTGCGGCTGGAGGGCACATTGTTGGTGTCACTCCAGATGACCCAGCAGATGGCCCCTTTTGTGTTTACCTACAAATTGGGGTGAAAAATGTAGAATCCTGTATCTACAAGTGATTCCCCCCCAATTAAGCCCTTTATTTTAAAGATAGGAAAGGGGCACCTGGGTGGCTCAGTTGGTTAAGTGTCCAACTTTGGCTCAGGTCATGATCTCAAAAATAAATAAATTAAAAAGAAAATAAAGATAGGAAATAGGCCCAAGGTCATAGGCATTGGGATTGGAATCCAGGACTGGAGACCCTAAGGCGCTCTAACTTCCCAGTGGCACTTGGCGGGGGGATTGGGGGCACAGTGTGGAGGGAACAGACTTGAAAAAGCTGCCCTGTGTTCTAGCCGGCACCGTGGATGGCGTGGCAGGTGAGCGTGCCCGAGCTGGAGGACCGCCTTCAGTGCCCCATCTGCCTGGAGGTCTTCAAGGAGCCCATGATGCTGCAGTGCGGCCACTCCTACTGCAAGGGCTGCCTGGTGAACCTGTCCCACCACCTGGACTCGGAGCTCCGCTGCCCAGTGTGCCGGCAGGAGGTGGATAGCAGCAGCTCCCCGCCCAATGTCTCTCTGGCGCGGGTGATCGAAGCTCTACAGCTCCCCGGGGACCCGGAGCCCAAGGTCTGCCAGCACCACCGGAACCCGCTCAGCCTCTTCTGTGAGAGGGACCAGGAGCTCATCTGCGGCCTCTGCGGCCTGCTGGGCTCCCACCAGCACCACCGCGTCACGCCTGTCTCCACCGTCTACAGCCGCATGAAGGTGGGCTGCGAGGCTGCTGGGGGGGGGGGGGGGGGGGGGGGGGGGGGGGGAGGCGCGGGGCGCACCCAAGGAGCCCAGCTCCTGCGCTCTCTGGCGCCATCGCCTGGCACAGAAGGGTCCCAGGCCAGGATGCCGGTGCCCTGCAGCCCTGTCCTGGAGCTGAACTCTGTAGAGTGTGTTCTCAGCAGCTCCAATCTCCAGGTGCTGGGCACTGCAGACAGGCACGATGGAGAGTCCTTGTGGAGTGCTAGCCCCTTCCCTCGCTCGGTTTTTCTTCGCAGCTTTCATCCATTTTTTGAGTGCTCTCCCAGACTCCACATGAGGGAAAGCACTTTGTTTCCTTGGGTATTTTCATGCCTAGAGCCATGACTAGCATGTAGTAAAAGCTCAAAATGTATTTGTGGAAACAGTGGATTCCTGCCCTCGTGAACTTAGATTTAGCACGTCATTATTTAAGATGAATAACGCTGATCTAAGATTTATGAAAGGTGGGGTTCTCACTATATTTTACAAATGAGGCTCAGAGAAGCCAAGGGTCTTAACCCAAGGTCATACAGCTTGTCGGTGGCAGAGGTAGGACACAAACTGGCCAGTTTTCTTTCCACTGCCAACAGATCAAAAGAGGCAGGAAGGATCCTGGAAAGTGAATTCTTATAGGGCACCTGGCAGAGTGTTTGGGAGGAAGGGAGAGTAAAGGTAAGGAATGACAAAATACAGGTGATAGGGGTGGGGAAAAAGAAAGAGCATCCAGATATGAAGGCAGAGGGGTCCCCTGTCACTGTTCCTGGGGTTTCCTGGCTGAGTGAGCAGCGTTTCTTTGCTCTTGGAACCCTGGGAGACAAGTATGAAATGTGCACAGGACCAGCCAGGCCATCCACCAGACCCTCTGACCCACAGACATGTGCTTGGCACTTAACCTGTGCTAGATATGCTAGAGCACATGGTACAATAGTGGGTAAGTGGTTTGGCCTGCCCCGGGGAGCTCACAATCTGGGAGTCTGACGGTCCCCATGTGTTGGGTGCTACCATCAAGGTTAAATACAGGCAATCATGAGGCCATCTGGACTGTAGCTCCTGCATGCTCTCAGGTAGTCAGGGAAGGTTCTCTGGAGGAAGTGGACTGCTAAACCAAGATCCGAACCACAAGGAGGACGTGGTAGGAAAAAAAGGGGAGGAAAGCATTCCACGTATAAAGACAGCCCTGCAAAAGATCAGGAGACCTATTTGAAGAATTATAAGTTGTTCTGTCAAGCTCTGGAGAGAGGTAAGCAGGAGCCAGGTCTTGCAAAGGCTTCTGTGAAATGTGAAGGGATCTGTAGTTTATTCAGAGGACCATCATGGTGGGGTCTCCGGAGGGTTTTAAGCAGAGTGGTGATGTGGTCCAAACACTGCTGGGGGGTAGACTGGAGACTGAGGCTGGGGATAAAAGATTGGGAGAATTACATATGGGTGGTAATTGAGGCTACGGGAGTGGAGAAGACCAATCAGGAGAGTCTGCAGAGTGACAGGGAAGATACGGACGATGCCCCCAAAGGACACCAGGGTTTAAGATTCGGGTAGAGAAAGAACCCCAAAAAAGGACAGAAAGAATCAGCAGAGGGAACAGGAACACTGGCTGAATACGACCTCCTGGAGATCAGGGCAGAGCGTTTTAATGAGAACAAGATCACTTGTGTGAAATGCCTGCTGAGGATTGGAAAGAGTCTGTTAGGTTTAGCAGTAAGAATTGATTATCTTGGCAAGAGTCGTTTCAGTGGAGTGTGGGAGGAGGAAGCCAGATTGCAGTGCAGCGAGATCGAGAGCCTGTGTTTTATTAGCCCTGGAGAGGAGGAGACACACAGGAGCTCACTCATCATTTCTGGCTTGGAGCCGGGGACGGCTTGGGTCCTGGTTTTGGATGTGGCTGTTTGTGATCCCAAGACTCTTTGCTGTGATGCCACTAAATTATGTTCCTTTATTAGATCCCTTTTATGCATGCCTGTTGTCCTCCTGTTGATTGAGATCTTGAGATTATTTATTTGTGTGTTTCTGTTTACTCTCACTGTGACCCAGTTGACGAAAAGAACTAATCCCATCTCTCTCTGCCTCAGGAGAGTTCCTACTGGAGTTTCGTTCTCGGGCTGTTATGAGATCTTCTGATGTCTTGTTTTCCAGAGCAAGACTCTGTGTCCATTTATCCCTACACTGGTTTTATTCTTTACTCTGCTCCTTTCCTGAAAGCCTCTTGCGGCTGATTTCTTTTTTTCTTTTCCTTAAGTTTATTTATATATTTTTGGTAATCTCTATACCCAATGTGGGGCTTGAACTCACAACCCCGTGATCATCAGTTGCCTGCTCTTCCAACCGAGCCAGCCAGGCACCCCTCTTGCTGCTGACTTCTGCTTGGGAACTGTCTAAGCCAAAGACTTGTACGCTCCATGGGCACAAACCAGCACCACTCGAGTAGTGCAGCTGGATGGGAGTCTAGGTGGTCCTGGTTGAATCTTTAAGACTCCGTCAGATTTGGGGCCAGGAAGGCCATCAGAAGTGCGTTTACTTCAGCCTGGGGAGGCCCAACCCTGCCAGCGATTGAGTCAGGTCTTTATAGGGATTGGGGAATCCCCAGGTATAACCTGGGCTACTGTATGCACCATTGGCCTCACTTGGGAGTCAGCCTTTTTGTGATGCTCTTGATCACATGCCCACTGATTCTAGATCTGCTGGTGACCAGACAGTTTATGTGGTCATCCAGCGTTCTGTTCAGGGAGTGTGGGCTTCAGACCGGTCATCGCCCCCCTTGGATGTTGTGTGGTGACTTCCAGGTAGTTGTAACAACGTTTAGGGTCTGTCTCCATGTCCTGCAGAGGAATGACCTGGAGATCCTTTTCTGTCTGGGTAATTCCTGCCCTCGATGTGGAATATTCTTGAATAATTTCACCTGTTTTGGAGTCAGGAGTACCCGGGTAGCCCTTTCCCTGGTTCCACTGGGAGTGCTTGTGGCCACTGGGATGTCCCCTGGATGGGTGAAGCCCAAGGCTGGCCCCAAGGAGCTGAAAGCGTGCAGGGGTCAGCTACTCATGAGGCCGTGGTACGTTGCCTCCAGGAGGAGCTAGCGGCTCTCATCTCTGACCTGAAGCAGGAGCAGAAGAAGGTGGATGAGCATATTGCCAAGCTGGTGAACAACAGGACCCGGATTGTCGTGAGTGCCCTTTCCCTCTGTCCCCTTAACCCTGGGGCTGGTCACCTTCCCTTTCCTGCAGAGCCCAGTTGTGATTTGTCCTTTACAGAAACCCATGCTTTCATATAAAGCCAGAATTCAAAGCATTGCAGGGTGGAGTGGGGAAAGGGCAAATCCCCTCAGGGGAATCAACTCAGTTGTCAGGACTCTGTCCAAATTGGCTGTGTCCCTCTTGTCCTTGGGACTGAGATAACACAGAACCTAAGTACCAGATGTAAACAGCTCAAAGTGTGGGCATGACTCTCTTGCCCCCACCCCCCACCCCCCCCAACGCCTGACTCGCTGTGTCTGCTTGACCTTGACAGTCTGTGGAGCCTGCCCAGTAGCTTGGAGCAGAGTGTAGAAACGCCTGAAGCCCTTGGTGGCTTTCTGCTTTTCCTGAATGACAGGCACACTGGGGCTGCAGGCATGTGGAGCCTAGGCCCTGCAGGCAATTGTGAAACAGAAGCAGGAGACCCATGTCCCCTGAGGGTCCTCTTGGTTAACCTTCCTCAGCCTGACAGGGAGGCTGAACTCAGGGTTACACAGGGAATCTGGCTCTCTGAAGTCTGCCCTCCCAGGGCCTTTCAGACCTTTTCCAGTTGTGGAACCCTGTACTGAAGCAAAATCTTAGTTGCACGTTTAATAGTTAGGACCGAAGAAAGCAGAGCCACTGTGTTTGAAATGGGTGCTGGGGCCCAGTCTGTCCCCTGCCTGTATTGCTGTCCCCCGTGGCCACACGGGGGGTGCCCAGGCACAGTGTGAACAGCGCACGAGTCAGCCTGCAACTCAAGTACTAGAACCAGCTCAGATTGGAAAAGCCCAGGAAGGCCTAAGCTGCCTGGGCCTGAGGACACAGGGGTCAGCCGGAAGCAGGCAGTTCTGGCTGAGGTTCTGGCCGTGACCAGCCCCTTCTCGTCCCAGAATGAATCTGACGTCTTCAGCTGGGTGATCCGTCGCGAGTTCCAGGAGCTGCACCACCTGGTGGATGAGGAGAAGGCCCGTTGCCTGGAGGGGTTGGAGGGTCATACCCGTGGCCTTGTGGCCTCCCTGGACATGCAGCTGGAGCAGGCCAAGGGCACTCAGGAGCGGCTGGGCCAGGCTGAACGTGTGCTCGAGCAGTTCAGTAATGAGAGTCACTATGAGTTCATCCGGGTGAGTGGACAAGGGAGTGTCACCCACGCCCAGGTCCCCAGGGTCCCAAGAGCCTCCCCCATGCCTTAACCCACCTGTCTTGTTTTCCAGAAGTATCACTCCACGGCCTCCAGGTAATAACCTTGGAGGGAGCTCTCAGCTTGGATCTGGTGGCTCCTCTACCCTACTTCCTGCCTGTAGCTGCACCAGTGCCTTGTCAGCAGCTGTCCACATCTGGCTCTGTACTGAGCCCAGGGAACAGGGAGATGAAGGTCATGCCCCTGCCTTTAAGGGTCTCAAAGACTGGTGGGAGGCGGATGGTGAACTCCGGTTACATCACTGATCACTGTGGGTACTTAAGACCAGAGAAGTTCACACGGGCTACAGAAATAACAGGAGGAGGTGACTGAGGTTGGGGGCGGGGCAGGGGGGGCGGGACTGGCGAAGATGGCAGGGGGTGAGCTTAGGGCAGAGGACAGGTGTTGGCCAGGTAAGCAGAGTGGGGAAGGGTCATCTGAAAGGCTCAAGTGTGCAGACTTGGGAGAAATGTGAACTCAGTACGAATGAGGTAAAATGTAGGCTACAGGGCAGAATGGGTGAGGAGTGGGAGAGGTGGGCAAGAGCCAGGATGAGGGGCCTCGAATCCTGCACCATGGGTTGTGGGAAGGGATTGGATCCATGTTCCAGCCCCAACAAATGAATAGCCATGCAGTTCTTAGCCTTCCTCAGATCCTGATTGTGGGAATCTCCTTGTCTGTTTTAAATTTCCTTTGGTCTTCGGGATAGTCAGGTTAGGAGCATTGGTTTAAAAGAATGGACAGTGTAGCTGATTGGGAGCAGGTGTCCGCTCCAGCTGTGGCCAGGGGCCAGGGTCGCCCGATATCGAGAAGCGATCCTCAAATGTTAGTGTGCATCAGAGCCACCTGGAGGGCTCCTTAAAACATCACTGAGCCCTAGTAATCGCTTTCAGCAGGTCTGGGGTGGCCCCGAGAAATTTGCATTTCTGACAAGCCTCCAGGTGATGCCCTTTGAGAACCACTGATGTAGTGTTTCTCCTTCCAGGAAGGGGCGGGGCCTCTGAGAGTGGGGTGGAGGGGAGGAAATGATGGGCCTCTTGAGTGCACAGTGTCCTGAGCCGTGACTGGCTGGTTGGACTTGCCCATGGGTGAAGGGCTGGGGTGCGCGGTGTGCATCCCCGCCATCACGTAGGTCTGTCGCCCTCAGAGCAGAGCTCCAGCAGGCCCGGCCTCTGGAAGGCGCCTTCAGCCCCATGTCCTTCAAGCCGGGCCTCCACCAGGCTGACATCAAGCTGACTGTGTGGAAAAGGCTCTTCCGAAAAGTTCTGCCGGGTAAGGCTCCAACCCGTTCTCTTCCCTGAGGGCTGCCATGCAGGGTGGGTAGCAGTTTGTCACTTGTGCCAGAGTTTAGGGTGCAGAAGACTGGAAGGGTGTTTGCATAGGTTAGTGTTGAGAGCATGGCTTTGGGGCTCCACCAGACAGCTCTGTCCCTTACTAGCTGAAGATCCAACCTGTAATCTGAGTCTGCTTCCTCATCTGCAAGGAGGGGGTATTAAAGTCCACCTTGCTGGGCTGTGTAGTTTATAAACATTCAAATGTGTGTGCATAGTTTCGTGTTTAATAAATGGTAGCTATCGCTCTGTCAAAAAATAACACGAAGACATTTAACGAATTCCTTTGTTACTAGCACATAAGGGAGATCAATCGATAAGCTGATTTCATCTAACAAAGACAAAAATAGGGTTTGTTGTAAAATAAAAAGGGGAGGGGAGGAAAAAACCTGATGATCTCTGGTCCGTGAGTGTTGTTTGTGTGGTTTTGGTGCAAATTGATTAGTTGGCAGGTAATCCAGAGGTCAGTTGGGAACAGTTTGTCCTTGAATAGGCTGGTAGGATATCAAAACAATTGCACTTGATAAGGATTCTCCTGGGGAGTTTAGCTGTGGTGCACAAGTGACGGGCCGTCTTCCAGGACCTTCCATCTGCACCGCCATCTTAGGCAGGCAGGTGCGTGCCCTTTCCCTTAACCAGAATGCCTCCCTCACAGCTGCCCCATTTTTCCCATGGTTCAGGCATTGTTTGTTCATTCAGCAGTCCTCAGGGTTGCCTCTTCTGTGCCCCTTCTCAGAAGGCCCCTCCGATTCTGGGATGAGGCCTTTGCAGTTCCTCTCCTGAGGAGCTCAGGGCCTCCCTCTGGGGTAGGGTCTGCTGCCTTCTGTGTAGCTGGAAAACACACTTCTTTGATCTTTCCTAGCCCCGGAGTCCCTCAAGCTGGACCCCGCCACCGCCCACCCACTCCTGGAACTCTCCAAGGGCAACACGGTGGTGCAGTGTGGGCTCCTGGCCCAGCGGCGAGCCAGCCAGCCAGAGCGCTTTGACTACAGTACTTGTGTCCTGGCCAGCCGGGGCTTCTCCTGCGGCCGTCACTACTGGGAGGTGGTGGTGGGCAGCAAGAGCGACTGGCGCCTGGGGGTCATCAAGGGCACGGCCAGTCGCAAGGGCAGGCTGAGCAAGTCCCCGGAGAATGGCGTGTGGCTCATTGGCCTGAAGGAGGGCCGGGTGTACGAGGCCTTCGGCTGCCCTCGGGTGCCCCTGCCTGTGGCCGGCCACCCCCACCGCATCGGCGTCTACTTGCACTACGAGCGTGGCGAGCTCACCTTTTTTGATGCTGACCGGCCCGATGACCTGCGGCCGCTCTACACGTTCCAGGCTGACTTCCAGGGCAAGCTCTACCCCATCCTGGACACATGCTGGCACGAGAAGGGCGGCAACGCGCTGCCTCTGGTGCTGCCCCCGCCCAGCGGGCCTGCCCAGTTCACCCCCACGCAGCCCACCAAGCTGTAGGGCTGCCGGTCGGTCTGCCTGCCCGTGGGCTCTTCCCAGCGGGGGCTCTGCTGGGTCCAGTGTGCAGAGATGATGTTCTTTACCGTGTGGGAAGGTCTTCACACCTGTGTGTTCCTAGAAACGTTTAATGATACGAAGAAAAGGACCATAATCCCTTCCCCTACAGCCAGGGGCCTATTGATTCACCTTTTGCCGGGTTATTCACCTCCTCGTAAACCAGCAGAACCAGGCCTGGGTGTCCACGGGTTAAGATAGGCTTCCCTTGGTCCCTCCTAAGCACACTTTCTGCTTCCTCTTTTAACTGAAGCTGGAAACATTGCCGCACGTGATTTCTCCATGTCATTGTGAACTTAAGGATAATAAATTTGATATCGTCTTTCTCTTTAGATGATTTGCAAATGTTAACAACTGTACATACGCCGCTTTACACTCAGGTCTTTAAAACTGCTCCAGCTTCCAGTCAGGTCAGATCTTGCCTCTGTGCCGTGCAGGCTGGGCTGTGGTTAGAGTCGCGCCAATCACTCTGTCTTCGCTGTCTTCAAAGGCCTCTCTCTCGACTTCCCTCACCGTTCGTTGGGATGGAAATAACACTGCTTCAGAGCAGAAGCAAGTAGGGTCTAGATGGGTGTGGCCTATCTCTGAAAGCTGCTGGGCACACAGGAGTGGCTCAGAGCCTCCCTCTCTCTGTCCGTGGTGAGTCTGCCCCTGGCCACAGCTGATGGTGTCCATTCCAGACTGAGGCTGGGACAGCTGAATTCTCTGCCAAGAATTTGAAAATTGGAAGATGGGGCGCCTGGGTGGCGCAGTCGGTTAAGCGTCCGACTTCAGCCAGGTCACGATCTTGCGGTCCGTGAGTTCGAGCCCCGCGTCAGGCTCTGGGCTGATGGCTCAGAGCCTGGAGCCTGTTTCCGATTCTGTGTCTCCCTCTCTCTCTGCCCCTCCCCTGTTCATGCTCTGTCTCTCTCTGTCCCAAAAATAAATAAACATTGAAAAAAAATTAAAAAAAAAAAAAAGAAAATTGGAAGAGAGAGTGGCTGCGGCCGAGGCATCTGAGACCTGGTGCTTTAGAGAGAAGCTCCCCAGCCTTGTGCCGCTGAGGTTTGTGGAGCTGCCTGAGAGACCTCTGTGGGGAACAGCTGTGTCCTGGTCCCCTGGCACTTACTCACCTTGGCCACACAGGCGAAGGCTTGACCTGCAGGCTGTCTGGGAGATCCTCCAGGAACCAGAGAGGATGGGAGGCTTGTGAGGCACCGACCCAAGGCCATCTCCACTGACCTTATCCCATAGGAGAGTCAGGAACCATCACCTCCCAGGCTCTGATAGGTCTGAGACTTCCGGCCCCACCTCCTTCCGAATAGAGCTGTAGACGGTAAAACAGCCTGGCTGCATCTAGAACTGGCTTCTCAGCAACAGGAGATCCCCCAGCCCTCACTGCAGCCATCCTTCCGTTGTGTGCAACAAGGACCGTGAGGCACCTTCGGCCGATCTTCCTTCTGCCCATGTAAGTAATCGGCTGTCTGAACCAAAAGGAGCTTGTTGTATCTTTACCGGCTGAATCTGTGAGGCCTTGGCCCTGGCTCCTGCTTGTTTGACACCTTGCAGACCTGGTTTTTGGTTATGAAGCTCTTCCTTCAGTTCCACGATTGGGCTGAAGATTGTCACCCTCTGCATCCACTGCCCTCCACCTCTCCCCCCTGTTCTGTGTCCTGGGAGGCTGGCCCCGGTGGAACACAAAACCCTCTAGCTTCCTGTTGGAGTCAGCAGATGGGAGGGACTGGTAGGAGGTCCAAGGGCAGGAGAAGGAGTTCAAGTACTTATTTTTTTGGTTTCCTGCCTGCCTGGCTGGCAGCTTTCCTCATCCAGAGATCACTAACAGGGGGTCCCTTCCTCTGTTGCTCTCCTTTGTTCCTTCAGGCCGGGCGGCGAGCAGTTCTGTCACTAGCCCTGAGTCTGCACCATCTCTTATGACTTCCCTTAACTCTGACCATTCTTTTATAAATACTCCCTTCTCTAAGCTCATCTCAATTACCGTTGTGCGTTCACCTTTCGGCTCCCCCCCCCACCCCCCCAGCCCCAGGTGCCAATAGACACCTCTGCACTCACTTAGTAAATCCCTTCTTTTGTTTGGCCGGCCAGAGTTCATGTTTCTGCTTGCACCCGAAAGATCCACCCAATATGGAGAAGGCAGAGGAAAGAGCAGTGAATTCTTTATGCGGAGTTGGCATTTTAGCTGAAAAAAAGTGGAATACAGGCAGAGGGGAAGAGCTTTTGGGGGTCAAGTCCACCGAGGGGTGCTGCGGCTGGAGCTGCACCTGGAGAGGGGGTGGAGGCCAGACCAGGGAGGGCCATTGATGCTACTTTAGTGCGTATTAACTTTGTTCTGTAGCAATGACGGTGTGGAAGGGAGGGAGTCTGCCCCAGGAGGAAATACTAGACTGGCAGAAAGGAGGTCAGAGGATGGAACACCAGAACTTAAAGGAGCTGCTTAGACAAGGTTGCCAAGGAAACGTAGAAATGGTCAGAGAACTGGGGGTGGGGGGGTGTGTACCAGCAGCAAAGGTCACAGAAGCCAAAGCTTTCCAGCAAAGAAGGTGTGCCAACAGTGCCGTGAAACCCCAGCCTCAGCAGGAAAGGCCTGAGGAATATTAGGAGATTCTTGGTGGCCTTGGAGGAAGCCATCTCAGTGGACTAGGGTGGAAGCCAGACTGCAGGGAATTAAACAGCACGTGAGGAAGAAGTAAAGGCAATGACTGCTGATTCTTGTTTTAAGCAGCTTGATGGGGAAGGGAAGAAGAGAACTGGGTCACGAATTTGAGAGAAGGTGGGATTAAGGGAAGGCTTTTTTAGGATAGAGGAGACTTAAAACAGTGTTGGCCTACAGAAATAGAAGAGCCACATGTGTAGATTTAAGCTTTCTAGTGGTCACATATTAAACATTAAAAGGCACAGGTCACCTGGCATCCAGATCTTGGCTCCTAATACCATTCTCCAGTGAAATGGAACCAGGGGTCCTTGGAGAAATGGCTGCTTTGAGGGCTGGGGGAGGAAACACACAAGCTAAGCCATGAGTCTCCTAGTTCTAGGAATGCTCAAAACCAAACAACCGTGGGAAAAACCTCTGCAATAATAGAGGACTGTCGCAGGGACATGGGAGCCAACTGAAAGCTCTCCCAGTGGCCAAAATGGGAAGAATTTGAGCAACAAAATCAAGTAGTACAGGTTTCCCTGCTATCAAAAAGTAGAGTGGGGGCACCTGGGTGGCTCAATCAGTTCAGTGGCTGACTTCAGCTCAGGCCATGATCTCATGGTTTGTGAGTTCCGGCTCACTGTGCTGACAGGCGGAGCCTGCTTGGGTTTCTCTCTCTGCCTCTCCCCTACTCTCTTGCACTCTCTCAAAATAAATAACTTAAAAAAGTAGAGTGTTTCTATGAAATCTCTCATTAACTGAAATGCAATAAAGTGAAGAAGCAATTACCATTAATTTATATGGAAACATTTTTTTAGTGTTTCCAGACCTAAAAAATTAACTGCTCTTAACCTTTTCTTACCTTAGGATACATTTTTTTTTTGAGAGAGAGAGAGAGAGAGAGAGAGAGAGAACGTAGGGGGAGGGGCAGAGGCAGAGGGGGGAGAGCATCTCAAGCAGGCTCCACACCCAGCGCAGAGCCTGATGTGGTCCGGATGCGGGTCTTGATTGGCCTGAGCTGAAATCAAGAGTCGGACACTTAACCGCTGAGCCACCCAGGTGCCCCTATCTTAGGATACATCTTGCAAACACAGTCAATCAAGGCAAAGCACAGGTGCTCACAGACACAGTTCCAAGCTATGGAAGGTTGATGCTGAGATGTGTGGAGATATTGGGGAAGGAACTTGGTGGCATCACTCTCACTCCTTGGGGTACTCACTGCCTCTACCAGGGCTCGCAGCAAAACGAACCCCTGATGCTATTTTTACTTCTCCCCTTTTTCCATAAAAGTGAAAATCCTCTTAGGATTTCTTTCAACTAACGAAAACAGGTACTGATGTAGGTCTTTTGTAAAAGTGAAGCAGTGTAATTAATGTAAACTTTCAAAACGGGGGTTACCTGTACTGGGTTACAACTCAAAGTAGAATATCCATGAGTTCATGCTGATAAGTGGTTAACTAAATAAATCCGAAGAAGAGACCGTTCTGCAGAAGAATTCCAAACAATTTCTGTAGTTATTCTGCCCTCAAGGACAGTATAACCCCCTACTGCTTAAGGGCAGGCTGTGCATAGTGACTTATTTTTCAGAGGGAACAAGATAGAGAGGTTTACAGTGGAGAAACTTGAAAAACACGACCATAACCAGATGATCAAGGTTAACATCAGTGAATAAGGTCATGTTGATACTATATGCCCTTGATGAGATCTCATGAGGATGGCACTGGGAGTCTTCCTCCCCAGAACCCAGAACCCCAGTCTGAGCATGAGAAAGAAAACCTCAGATAAATCCCAGTTGAGGGACATTCTACAAAACACCAGGGCTCCTCAAAACTATCAAGGTCATCAAAAACCAGGAAAGTCTGAGAAACTCACAGCCAAGAGTTGCCTTAAGGAGACATGATGACTGAATGTAATGTGGTGTCCTGGTATTTAAGCACAGAAAATGTACATTAGGTAAAAATTAAGGAAATCTGAGTCAACTATGGACTTTATCAATATTGTTGCACTTTTAACCACTCACCTGAAGGAGTGGGGTTGGGATTTAGGACGGGTCAACTCTGGCATAGCTGTCCACGTGTCCTCATCAATTTGTGCTCAATTCATTCACTCTTTCACTTATTCAACAGATATATTAGGTCCTTATTGTGAGAAAAACACCGGTTTAGGAGGTAGGGATTGATAAGTCAAACAGGATTTGCCCTCGTGGAGCCAGCTAGAGGATAAATCATAGCTACATATGGAACAGATGCTATGAAGAAAATAAAATAGATTATGTGATTTGATCGGGTTGGGGGAGTCCACTAAAAGATCACTT